CCAGTTTGAAGAAGAACAGAGTAGACCATGCTGAAGGAACACGATTGGCTTGGATGGTACATCTTTACATTTGTCATGTCGCCCATATGGAATGTTTTGAATGGACAGAATGTATCCATCGTCGGTGGTGACGTCATGGTTTTCCACAGGGTACCCGTTGTATGCTATCATTTGACTCTGGTGGCAAGAGGTGAGTGATAAAATAGTCCAAGTGCGAAATTAAATTTGCATTGGAACCTTTGTGGGTAACAAGCGAAGCATATTTCGGAAGTGGGCTATTGGGTTAAATAAATATTTTTTACTCACGCTGTGTTAAGTGGAAATAAAATAAAAATATAAGCTTCTTGATATACATACATACATATACATAGTGATAATATGTTTGAAGACGTTTGAGGCAACCGCATACTTGCAGAATACTGGCAAGGGATAGGAATTCCAGCTCTATCCTGTAAGATCCTACAAGTTCGTATGAATCGCACGATCTCGAGAACAATTTATAGGTACAAGGGATGTTTTGAAATTTCAAAATTGGACGAGCCTTTAGGCGAGTCCAATTTGAAAACGTTTAAAACACCACGACTATCTATGCGTTCCGAATTGTACGAGAAGATCGTATAATACACTCAACAAAATTAAGCAGCTTAATTAGGATTTTATAGAGTACAATTTAGGATTTAATTATACTCCTCTTGTCGAATCAGAAACGAGTAATTTTGTTGGGTCTATTATAAGACATATTATCGTACAACTTTTGTACAAGATTGTACGATTCTTTTGTCTTACCACATTCATCGACACTTCCGGTAGCTTTTTTCCTACATGTTGATTTGGTCTCCCATGAAAGTATACTTGCCGCGCAGAAGTGATTCCATACAAGCACAGAAATACAAGCAAGTACATTTTGAATGTACTGRTGCCTGAGTTCAACTTCATTTTCCACTAAATCACACTGTAACAGCACCGTACTGACAGCGTTAGATGACGATATTAGAAATTCAGTGTTGATAAAGACCGAGTTGAAAGCCACTTGCGTTTCACCTATGACAAACACGTGATCTTTGTGGAGCGCGTGACGCAATCTCGTTTTTATTCCATTTCTCATTTTTATTTCTTTATTTCTTATGTTGGGATGTGGGTTAGACTTAAATCTCTGGCATAGCCGTAAATGCTTTGCGCTGCCATACGACTAGTTTAAAAAATCAAAAAGTAAAAATCCTTAGAAAATCATTTCATAGAAAAGGAACGTTAAAAGAGACCAAGTTTACTATGATGCACGTTCCGTTTAGTTTTACCAAGAGTATGCCTTCAAAGCCATCAGCGTCACAATCGAAAATCTTGAGTTTGCTAGTCATAGCAAGGGGTTAAATTTACTTTGATGCACGTTCCGTGCCTTCCGTTAAGTTTTTCAAAGCGCGCCTCACATGAAAAAGAGATAGCGTTGATGGTTAGTAATCAGCGAAACAATCTAGATCTCGAGTTTGCTTTTCACATCAAGAGGTTATTAATCAATGGTCTAGGAGACGACTAGCCTCTCCGATYCGTCAAGCTTCCTGAGCAGTCTGTAAATCCGATTGAGCGGTATTAAGGCCGAAATATCCGGCGCAACCGTAAGCGCTTCGCGCTGCCACACTGTGCTCAGTTCAGTAATGAGACTAGAGGTTTAAGGTCATAAATTTACCAATCAACATAAGTAATGAATAAATACTGGTTAAAATTGCTTTTAACCATTCATAGATTAAATAGTTCTCTTTAAAAAGCAAAATAATTTTATTAATTACTGACTTTGGACGAGAAAAGCAATATTGTCATCATATATATCAATATAAATACACAGTCAGCATTGGCTATCAGATTTAAGACATCCTGAGCAATAAAAATATCTTCTTTTGGCAAATCAGATTCGGAATAAAATTAATGTTATACATCGGCATTGGCACGTGGTGACGTTATTGGTCGATACGTGAGGTGGTAGTGGTATCGATTAGTCAATAACTAGAGGTCCGATCATTTTACAGATGCCTTTTCACGACATATCTTCCATATCCTTTGATCTTATGTGCCTAATAACATCATCGTAAACTAGGGGCGCCGAATCAAGGGCCCAAATAAAGTCCAGATGGTTCCATTCGGGGATGAACTTATTGTACATTTGATGCGGCAACTTTTTCATCAGAGATTTGACGTCTTTCGGATCGGCTAAGTCGTCGTTTCCTCCCCAGTAGAGAGCTGTAGGGACGGCCACTGATGACACGTYRTACTCAGGAGGGGTACCCTAGAACAAGAATTTGGAAAATAAAGATGGGAATCTATATTTTTCCATGCACGTAGTATTCAATCGTGTTACTTTGGATTTCTTWTCTCTTRTKACGCATGCGTGTAACTAACCTGCCCATAATGCTTTTGGTTCTTTTCCTCGCTGCCGTAGTCGTACATCTGGAATTTACCAGAACGATGCAGCTGAGCAAAGTGTATCAAATTCTTGACTGATGTTCCTGCTGGGGTGTGCGAGATGTAAATAGGAAGACGAGTCTGCGATGTAAAAGAACAACAAGCGGATTTAGTAAAACAGACAAACGGACGGATGGACGGACATAGAAGGACATACACGGACGGACGAATGGACGGAAAGACAGATGGACGGATAGATAGACAGACATAGACAGACAGACAGACATAGACAGACAGACAGACATAGACAGACAGACAAACAAGCCGGTAAGCAGAAAAGCGGATAGACAGACGGAATGACGAATGGATGGACATAGCAAGACGGACAGCGAGACAGACAAACCGGCAGACAGAAAGGCAGACGGACGGACGGGCATAGACAGATGAACAAACAGACAGACAGACAGACAGACATGGTAGAAAGAACAACCTTGGCACATTCCTATCTGGTCCGAAATTTTATGGTGTATTTTTTAAGAGAGGGGTGGAAAGGGGGTGGTCATCTTTTCTTCTGCTAGGTGAAGCATGTCAAATGAGCGCGTACATACCTCATTGAGTTGTTTGGTATCCAGTCCTGCTATCAAAAATAGAATATCCGAGCAAACATCTCTAACAACCTCATGTCCACAAAGAAGTTTTGACAGAATCCGAAGTATTTCATTTGATGGTAAGAAGTCCCGATTACCAAAAATCTTGAAGAATTCCTTTTAGAGAAAAATAATATTTGACAAATATTGTAAGTTGGAATGTACGCGACATTGTACCCGGCAAAAATATTTCAATCACGAGGGTTCCTCATTAACCAGCTTTTCTTTATCGTGATTGGTTGGATGGATGTTATTTATACAGTGCGTGCACTCATGTGACTCAAAATCCCATAAGATATAAATAAGAATGAAACAACCGCCATGTTGGTTGATCAAACAAAAATGCTTTGTTACAACCAAGATGGCGGCCATGACGTAACATGCACATGCTCTATTGTGATTGGTTAGCCGATCAAGAGTTCCTTACCTCTAACTCTGGTGTGAAATAGCTCAGATACTTCAGGGCCCCTTTCATGTAGGTCACTGTAGACA